GGGAAGGAAATTATTTCTTCTTCTGAGTAACAAACAGCTGTTCTTAACTTTTATTTGAAAAGAATTTAAAATGCCCTTTATAGGCAGAGATTGGTGAATTGTTCATTAGTTATTCCCCCTTTTCCCATTGTACCAGTCAAGTTAGACAAAACATGGGAATCAAAAATACAGTAATTTGATGTAGAAATATTGAGAATAATGTGGAGATTTGTTGTATTTGGTCACCTGAGCTTTACTTTTTTATTCATAATAGATCTCAGTTTAAATCCCATAGCAAACACAAAGAGGTTAAGATTTTAGTGTCTCCATCAACACGGTACTAAGTAAATCATTACTCACCATAGGAAAGTTGTTTAAACTAACTCCTTGAGCTCTGATCACCAAATTATTGTAACATTGTCATGTTACAAGTGACATATACCAGGTAATGCTATATGTCAGCTGGAAAAGATACATCTTGCCATAAACTCTAAACATCTCTCACTTCACTCTCAGGAAATGTAAGCTGGCTCATCTTTCTCTTCTTGGAAGATATTCAGCAGGCTGGAGGCTTCATTGATACTTGTAAATACGGAAGTTTATCATATACTGTAGTGTATTCTCATTTGATATGGAACAATTAGAGTCCATAAGATTTAAAAATAGATGCTGCTTTTCCATTAGTGCTTTTTTTAAAAATAAAAACAAAAGGTAAATAAAGGATTGCCTTACTAAATTTGATATGGGTAACTCAATACTGCTTTACAAAGATAGAACTAAAACTGTTTATAGCACAGTGAATATACAGTTAATTCATTCATAATTACTTCTTTTAGCAAGGTAGCACTAGGAGAACCAGCTAATATCTGCATTTCACAATTTTTCAGAACTTTTGAGGAAACAAATGAATAGGCAAATACTTTGCCAAAAATCAGTCTGTACTTGATCGTTACAAATAGTGGAAGGTGTGCATAAATACAGTTGTAAAGTTCATGCAAAATTCCAGTAACTACTCTTCTAGTGACTTCATAATGTACAGTCTGTGCTGTGTTTGGGCCACAGCACCTGTTTTCAGGAAAAATTGTGGCTACATTTAATCCAGTAAAGACGAGGAGGATGCAACAGCCTTTGCAAGTCTGAGTATACATATGCTTTATTAGAATGGCACATAGTTGTTGCAGGAACATCACTGTGTATTTATTAACACTCTGGATGCATCTGCCTGATGCTTCAACCTGTGGAAAATTAAGAGATACTTGAATGTCTGGATTTGTAACATATGTATCTACGATCTAAAACCTTGTATTGTTAGTGATTTTCCTGCTTGTTATCTCTAGTCTTCTCAGTCTGCCAGCTGGGGCCTCTGTAATTTACAGTATACCTCAATCCAGCAGGCTAGGGTGGTGTAAATTCAAGCCTGTGTATTCAGTTCATGTTCTTCAATTCCTGCTATTGTTTTCAGCAGTTTCCACCAAGGGTGTGCTTCTCTTTGAGAACAGAGTGCTCCATTCATCAACTTGCAGTTTTTTATTATATATTACTGACAATATGGACAGAGGGTGAAAATCAAACTGTCTAAATTCCACCTAATTTAGTCAGACTTTGGGCGCCTGAGTCTCAGAGAATGATTCAAATTGCCTACTCTCAGGCACCACCTAACCCCTGGTGGCACCTAAAATGAATCATTTTGGACAACAGATTTCCCCCGGAGTCTGGGCATAAGTTCCAGGGAAGCTCAGAAGTACCGTGGCATAAGCAAGCAGGCATGTACCTCCCACCCGAGTTTCACTGTGAGTCAAAGATGTGTGTAGGGATGCCTGAACATTGCCTATATCCCCAGAGGTTCCTAAGCCATGCACTGTACTTAAATCGCACATAAGCTTAGACAGCATTTAAAATTAAATATTCTGCAAAATTTTGTTTTGGCTTTTCTTATGTTCTGATAGGAGGTTTTATGTTCATGTTTCTGTTCTGGCTTTTTTTTTCCCCATCAAATGCCGTTAAGTATTTATTGTTTAAAAGACATTGGCCTATTTCTGAGGAGTTTTTAACTGAGCTTTACACAGTAGAAGGTACCATGGTAGTAATACTTAAATTTTGCTATACTATCTTACTGATAGTCTGTACCCAAGTCACTTTGATGCTAGATACATGCTTTTTATTTTATTGCATTCACTTGAGGCCGTTTAGGGAGTCAAGAATGTAAGGGAAATTGTGTATAGTAGGAGATAGTACGCTAGTTTTCTAAGTATTTTATCCCTTCATTTTTCTCCTTTTAGCATTCACTATCTGGCTGGAAGGGTTGAGTGTTAAGTGTATATTTCAAAGCATCTGTTAATGACTTTCTGGTCACCAAGTAATGTTCATATAGTTACACATTAAAAACCCTTTTCAAAATAAAGGTATTGCTTCTGTTAAGTTATGTCTTTGGTGTATAGTAGTTGTATACCAAATTTGTGCTCTTTGTTGGCTAGACACTGAAATAAGTTTCCCAGAGGGTTGTGGAATAATTTACATTCTTGGAGACTTTCAAAACTCAGCTGGACAGGACTCATAAAAACCTGATATAATTTTCAGGTTGGCCTTGCTTCAAGTAGGGGGTTAGATCCATTGCCTTCAGAGGGACCTTCCTACCTAAATTATTTTGTCAATCTAACTGAATTTATCCTTGGTCCAATTCTACTTAAATCTTACCTCTTTAGATGACTTCACTGAAATCCGTGTAATGCTCTTAGGAGTTATTTGCCGTTGTCTGCTTTTCTCATTTCTCCCAATACAGTTTTCTCTGTCAGTTCAAAGATAAGAGAAGCTAGAGTGAACTCCCACTCTTTTTCATAATTCTGTCCCATACCTTAATTTTTTCCTGTTTCCCAAGTAGTTTGATAAACAGTTAAGGAAGATAATTGTATATCATGTGCACTCACACACAATCAATTTTTTTGGAGAAAACTTTGAAAGAAACACTTAAGATTTTAGAAGACTAATACTTCCATTCATTTAGATAGCTCTTAAAGTGTCAGGGAGGCTTACAGTAAAAAGCAACCATGGAGGAAAAAAAAAAGAAAGTGCTTCATATTTACTAGAATACCTACCATGTCCAGAAACTACTTCCATTTGTTTTGCAGACTTGTTACACCAGTCATGGTTTACCCTCCTTTGTTTTGAGGAAGACTTTTGATCATTTCCCTTCCACAGTTATCTGCCCTTTGCCCATTAATGTAAAAGCCCCTGTGTTTCCCAATGTGGAATTTAGCTGGGAAAGTTAATTGATTTTAGAGAGCTAATCAGATGCTCCCACAGCCAGATATCCTGTCTGCTTTACAGCTGTAAACCTGAGATGCCATCTCCTTAGCTTGCCTGGGGTGTTGTAAATCACAGGCCTGAGCCCATGTCCAGATGATTTACTGTTGTTCAGAGATGCACTCATGTATTACTGATGCCCAATGAAGGTATTTTCTTTATGAATCATAAAAATATTATTTATGCTATAATTGAAATACAGAGTAGTATAAAATCTAAGACCTGCAAAGCCTGTTCACTTTTGCCTTGCCTTTTGACACTGAAACATCTATAGCTGTACAACAGAGCATATGGGTCCACTAACAATGTGGGAGAGCAGCCAATTTGGTCCTGGGATAAAACAGGAATCAGCTGTGGGAAATAAGCCAAAGAAGTGTGATTCCCACATAAGGGACTTAAATAGGTGTTAGTCCATAAAGAAACTCTTTGGCAGTATTTAGAGCAGACGTCTCTACACTAAAGGCATTTTTTCTGAGATCCTAAGTTAACTGAAGTGCACTGATTTCCAGGAGGGTTAGGGGATTATTGTATTGTCAGCTGGTGCTTCCCTCTTCCGTTTTTTTTCCATTTGTTTTGGTTTGGGTTTAGTTTTTTTAATAAAGCCTTTATAGCACATTACTGTGTAATTATAATCATATTTATAGTTTTTTAGAACTAAATCATTTACTTCACGTGATTGTGGGAAGAAAAGCAGAGGAAATTTTTCTGCTGCCTGGGGCCCTCAAGTTTCCTCCGCTCTGATCCAGGGAATTGCCATGTGGCTAGTTGGGCAATCCTGACAGTTTTCAGCAAACAACAATGTTAACACTTCAGCTACTTTTGTGTTGTGTAGTGTTTGAATCTGTGGGTTTCATTTGGCTCACCTCTCAGAAAATAAATAGTTTGAAATGCACAAGCTTCAAAAGAAGAAAGTTGATTGCACCATCCTAATTTGTTTAGTATATAATTAGTATATATTTTATCATTATCAAAGTCTGTAGAGTTGAGTTACAAACTAATTTCATTTTTTCTGAAATACACACTTTTCAAATAGTTCATAGAAGTGGTGTTGTACTGCATTCTGTGATACAGGTAGCAAGTCAGACATGATTTTGTAGGTGTCGACATATCTTAGGTGAGAAAGGAATAACAAAATGAAACAACAGCAAGTCAGTCGTTCAGAAACACATTCCTTACTTTTGTTCAAGCCTGCTGAAGTCCTGCTGTTCTGATACTTATCATGTATGAGTTGTTGCCCGTGGAGGTCACTGGATCAAATCCCCTGCTCAAAGCAGGACCAACTTGAAAGTTAGATCAGGTTATTATGAGCCCTGTCCAGCTGTGTTTTGAAAGTCTCCAAGGGTGGGGATTATTCAACAAATCATCTGGGAAACTTGTTCCAGTATCCCAAGCAATAAATTAGGAAAACCAGTATTTTAAAATATGTTTGTGTGTGGCATTCACTTTGCAGCAGTTCTTCTAAGACTCCTATTTATAATATATTTAGTATAAAAAAAGATTTTTTAAAAGTTAGAACAAAAAATTCACTAGCAAAATCTTCAGCCATTTATTCTTATAAATAGACTGAATTATGCTTTTGAAAAGAGGCACTTCTGAATACTGAAACCTGTGACTTTGTATGAGTGTGATTGAGCGCTTGGTTGCTTTTTTTCACCAGGTATTATTTCTGTTCATTCCTTTTATAACAAGAAGTCTTTTTTTTTTCCTCCCTCCTGTTGTAGGCAGGTTTTTCCAAATGGGCTTCCTGAAGAATACTCTCTAGTAGCTACATTCCGTGTACGGCGAAATACCAAGAAAGAGCGTTGGTATATATGGCAAGTTTTAAATCAGTATGACACACCCGAGGTTAGAGTCGTCTTTGTTTTATTTTTTCATTAAGTATCTTTTTTTTCCTGTATTATATGGCAAATACAACTTAGTGGATGTTTTACCACTGGATGTATGGACTAGACAGACTGGTCAGAAATAACTTTTGATTTATTATAGGAATGACAGAAATTTAACAAAATGTATTAAGATTGCAGACTAGGATAAGAAGGCATGTTATGATTTATAGCTGATATGTATTTACAGTTACATAGAAGAATGCTTCATAACATAATTCTTGCCCCATTTATGTAGCTGAAGTACTTTTATTATGTATAGTTTATATATGTGTTTAATTCCTATACTCATAAATTTTAAATGACCGCTTTTTTTTTTTTTTTTTTTTTTTTTCAGATCTCTGTCCTTCTGGATGGTACAAAAAAGGTTGTGGAGTATATGACCAAATCTGCTCAGGGAAATATACTGCACTACACTTTTAAGAGTCGAGAAATTTATCCATTGTTTGATCGGCAGTGGCATAAGCTTGGTATTAGCGTGCAGTCGGGGATCATTTCCCTCTATTTGGATTGTAATTTAATTGAGAGAAAACAGACTGATGAAAAATTCACCATTGACTTGCAGGGAAGGACTCTGATTGCTTCTCGTGCTGCAGATGATAAGCCTGTAGATGTGAGTAGTATGAAAGGAAAATCAGATAACTTGAAACCATGTTTTAGCCATGCTTTTACTAACAGCTTTTTAAAGAATTATGTAGGTAAGAGGTTCAAAACTAGTTATTAATTTAGAGTGTGCATTCCTAACTTGAAATCCTTAAGTCTTTTTCTCTAAACAGTATTCAGTGCTGTAACATCTGCTAAGGCAAACCTGTTACCAAAGTGACTATGAAAACTCGGTCCTAGTTTCAGGAGTTGTCTTTTCTGTATTCACTTTGGAGTAAGAGCCATATACTTACCGGAGGCATATTATTACTACATTTAGAGATAACTTCCAGTGGTAATTTTTTTCTTTCAATCTTTATGAGATTTGTATACAAATTTGTATCAGTCTTCTGTTATAGTTTCTCTCTTTGAAAAAGGGGAAGCATAAAAAAATTACCTCTGTATCAAGATTGTATCACATTCCAGGGTAATTCAGCTATGCAGAAATAAGTGCACATTGTTCATAGTTGTTACTCCCTCCTCCAAATGGGAGGGATTAGGAAATGGCTGGAGGTATGTTTCCTGCAGCCTCTGGTACAAGAATTACCCAGGACAACCCCATAATATTTGGTCTGTGTTCTGTACCAGAGATGCTCTCCTGTTTTCTCATGTAGAGAGCCCACAGCAAGTAATTTGAAAGCTCCAGGAAATGTCAGTTTGTTTTAAGTATGCTGACATCCAGTTACCAGGTTTAAAGCATCTGGCTTAGAGTTTATAGTGACCATCTGAGAGTTTCACCTATATTACGTACACTGCATAGGCACTGAACAGTTTGGCATGGACTCAGAGCTCTTATTGCATAGGGCCAAGCTTAGGCTTCATTTTATTTTCTAAGACCGAGTTCAACTTTATTTGAAATATATGTATGATCTCATTTCCAAATGGCACTAAGAAGAAGGAGCAGATTCTTTTCATCTTGTGTTGGATGCATGGCACAGGCTGGATAATTCTGAGTGGAAGTTGTTAACTGGGATTTCCACGTTTGCAGGAATACATTATGGTCACAGAGCTGATGAAGGCAGCAGAGCGGATCCTGTACCAACAGTCACTCATCTGAATACTAAGTGCAAGGGAGAGAATGAGAAGATATAAAATGGATGCAGAAAGTGGCATACAAGGGCAAGATTAGCTAAAGTTAGATGCTGTTCATCTCACCGATCCACCCAAAATCTCCAAAGCAGAAGCTTTATGTACAGAATTTGCAATTTTTTGCTCTTCAGGGGGTTTAGTGGCAAAGTCCAGTCAAAGGTCTGTCCAAAGCAATAGAAGATGTATGCCAGAGCGAGCGTACCAAACCTTTACTCTAGTTCATGGCAGGAAAAAACTACATTCCTGAAAAGAAATTTTGCAAAGGATGTACAGAGGGCTAACATGCCTGTGTAGCATAGCAAGGGCAGTACAGAGGGATACAACTTACACGAAGATAAATTAAGACTAAAATGTGATTTACATCTAAAGTAATAGACTGCATACTTTGTTCCTTAAGTGGGGAGCTGTGTAGTTGTGTTGGATTTGTCTTTTTCCGACATTTCAGAAATATGCAGTGTTTCACAGAGAAAGTTCATTATGCCAAGATAACAAAAGGCATGCCATAACACATGATTTTTTACATGTCCTATTAATCTCTTTTGTATTTCCCAATAGGTTGAACTTCACCGTATGGCAGTTTATTGTAATCCAAAATTTGCCACAGAAGATACGTGTTGTGAAATATCTGCAGACCTGGTAAGTTATTTTTTAAAATGAAAATGTTAATACCAAAGAAATCACTTCATTTTTTCTTACTAATGGGTAGTAAAGACATTTCAATGGAAGTGTTAGATTAATTACCTCCTAAAAATGAATCCTTTATCTGGAATCATGGTACGTTGTTTCTTGCTGCTGAACTATATGACACAATGGAACTTCAGTAAAAGGCACTAGGTGCTGCTAGTGCTTTTTAAATGCATTTCTTAACATTGATTAATATCTAATTAGTAACTGAGGAAGTCTCAGAAAATAAGAAACAAATCACTGCAATGACCTGAGGATGGCTTCAAATAACAGAGGCCATTTTAATGGCAGTTGCATCCAGTGAAGCATTACAGATGATAAAGCCTGTGAAAGAGTGACAGTAGAAAGGAAGAAAAATAGGAAGATCTTGAGGGTGTTTCCCATATTTCAGTACACTTATGTGGAGGAATGTGTGGTTCATATTGGCAAATACTTTATTTTTTTGTAACGCACATGCTGATGTGTATATGTTGTTTAACATGAGGGAAAACCTTGATTTAGTTTAGAGGGTTCACTTCTCCCTTTTGTTTTGATAGAATCAGTGTAAACTGGAAGACACCAGAACTATAGAAATGTTTGAGGTTGCAGATATGGTTGTTTTGCTGAATCAAGCCCATTTGGAGAAAAAAGAAATAAAGAAAAAAAGCCAACCCGGAAAATATATAAAAATACTGGTCTGCTAGATATAAATACTCTGTAAGAGCAGGCTCCTCTGAGATAGCGGGCAATACCATCAGCAGAAAACCCCAGAGCATGCAGAAATATTAACTGATTCCACCTACAAAGAGATGGAAGAAAAGAGTAGCTGAAATGGAGGGATAAAGCTGCCCAAGAGTAGTAGAAAACTTTGTGGGAACTGGTAACTCTTAGGTGATTAGAAGCATGAAAGAGTCTGGATCTAATTTATCAAGGGAAATTTAAATTTTAAATAATAATTTATTGTTCAGATATATTTCAAAATATATTCTTGATAACAGTGCAGGCTTTCTTGTGAATGTATAAGCTCATGGGTAGGTGAAATGAATGGATTTTTTTTCTGTAGGTTCCACTTTATGCATGGAAATACAATTTATTTAGCAGCTATGACACAGTAGCAAAAAAATAAAAAAATAAAACAAACCCTAATGTATGAACACAAAAAGTTCAAGGATAGGCTTCATCACTAGCATCTGAAACATTTGTTCAGCTATACAGCTAAAAGAACCATCAATTTCAATTCTATATCTTACGCTGAAGATGTAAAAAATTATGGCCTACTCGTTAATGACTTTCATATTTAAACCAGCATTACATTTTCTGATTTATTATTTTATGACTTCCTTACCAATTATAAGGGCTATATTTTCAGTAATTTAAGGGATTGAATTTATCATTGGATACAAATTTCTACACTAGGCTGTAAATCCTGTGGGAATATCTTTGACAGAAGGCTCGCAGGAAATTTTATTACATCTTAATGAGGGCTGCTGAAATTTGTCAGGTTCTGTTGACTTGTCCTGTAGTATATCTTCAGGTTGACTCAGCTCTCATGAGTTACAGACGTGAATATTGGCTTCAGGGCTTTTTCTTTGTTTCCAAACTGTGCGTGCCCAAAGTCTTTTAATACAAAAGAATGACAGAATTTTCCCCTCGCACTCACTCTGACATTCTGCATTTCAGGGTAGGGGCTGGAGGATGGGATGAGTTTGAGAAGTACCCTCTTTATTTTCCCATGGGCATTTTCTGCTTCATTACTTCTAAGTTGAGGAGACTTTATTTCTCTGCTTGGGCTCTTTTGGAAGAAATAAGTGGGACAATCAGATCAGTTTTAACAGGCATTGGTTGTAGTACAGAAGGATCACAATGTTTAGACTTGGTTTTATTACAGCTTTTTTCTCCGTTTGGCAATTGTTGTGGCTTCTCTGCAGTATGGTGTGTACAGGAGTATTAAAACAGAAAGCAACTTAAAAATAGCGTTTGGATGGTATTTATCTATTAACCAAAGTGGACCAAAAATCAGAACGTCTTCTTTTTATTTTAGTGCCCACCTGAGGGGAGCTTACTTGCTACAACTTCATCACCAGTGACTGCTCATGCCAGCAAAATATACACGCTTCCAGGAATGCAGCAAGAATCTGGAGAGAGATGCCACTGCTTTCCAAATAAAGTATGAGGTTTTCCTATTGCTTTTTAGTGCATCCTGCTAGGTATTAAAAACCAAAAAAGGTGGGTTTTGTTTTGTTTTTTCTTTTTTTTTTTCTAGTTATGAAAACTATCTTACTGATTTGTAATGTTATTTATATTGTATTTCCCATTTAAGAAACAGTACATCTTAGATTTAGCTAATTTAAAGTTAGAGTTGCAGAGGTCTGTAAGGTTTAGTTGTTTGAATACACAGCAAAGAAAAAGATCCATGGTAAAATGAAAATTATATTTAGTCATTATATGTAGTGTAAATGTTTTTACTTGAGAATAAATTATTTTCTACATAATCCTTTTTTAAAAATCCTTTTCCTGGGTGTTGTACTATAGTTATTCTGAGTTATTTGTTTTGTTAGGACTTGGTGATGAAGACAAGGAAACTAAACCAAATACATATTTTGGATCTGCTTCTTTGATGATTTTTGATTTCTTTTAAAATCAGGGAGAAGCAGGATTGCCAGGAGCAGCTGGTTTGCCAGGCCAGAAAGGAGATAAAGGTGAAAAGGTAAAATATCAGTTGAATTCTCTCTTTCAAATCTTTATATTTGGTTTCTCTTTCTCAAGTAGAATCTTTATGGGCTTTCTTATTCTTTAAAGCAATATCCTTCTACAGAAGTTAAATCCTTTGTCAGTCAGTCTCTGGTTCTGCATGTGGGCTTCCTGGCAGGCGGCCTACGGCTGTCTCCCTTTGGGGTCTCCTCATCGACCCCATGGGCAGGAACACAGGTTACCTGCCCAGGAGGCACATGCCTGCCCAGCCCTGTCAACACGTCCTATGGCCTATGCCCTGCACCCAAAAAAAAGAAGCTGTGTATGTAGTCTGTGACAGGGGTTTTCCCATATCATGTGTGTACATCACTGCTGATGGACAGAATCCTGTGCGGTGCATTCATCCTTGCAGGCATCAGCAGGGGGGATATGAATTAACTCGTATGACCTCAGCACTATGTATTCTTTGACATCATTCTTATGGGAAATTTTCTTAACTGTGAAGAGAGAAGGACCTGACATTGACAAGCCCCTAGGACAGGCTAGTTGGTCCACCTTTCCTTGGGCCTATTCTATATTTTTGTTCTGTAATGCTTATCATGGCATTCATGTGTTATTTAGCTTGGGGGTTTAATAAGTGTCAGCATATGAAGTGTTTTGCCTTTGCACTCCATTCCCTAAATTTGGTTGGAGGATGCTGGATTAGGACATGTCTGGTAATGTGTTTTTCTTGTGCTAATAGAGAGAACAACTTGAATAAACTATTGCAAATTGGCCAGAAGGACAGTGGATAGGAATTCTGAGTTCAGGGAATGCAGTATGAGAGGAAGATACCTGGAATGTCCTAATCCAGAGTTTGGGTTGGAGGTGTCTTAACCCAGCATCCTCCCTTACAGTGTACTGTTTAATACATTGTCTGAAATAGTTTGTGAAGACGGCCAGACCTGTTCCTAGGACTGCAGTACCTGGCTGAAATAGGTCTAGTTCTGAGAGGGCTTATCCACTCAGTCAGTTAAGTAAATTCCTTGATAGTGTCTTCCCCCCCAACTCCTCCCCTCCAGTATATATTTCACTTCTGATACTAGCAGTATCTTTTCCTAGGTGGAAAAAAATCTTCAAGTATGTTAGTTTCAGTAGCCCAGCTCAACCTAGAGGGTTTGCTGGCAGTTTCCAAATTCAATCATGAATTTTTGCCGATCCTAGGTCTGAGAATATAGAACAGTTGTTCGTGTTACAGTTAGCCTCTGTTACCAACATAGCGGGTTTCCTAATATTTATTTGGGAAACTGCTCTTCTGCTCCTGAAATAATCCACTGAGACTATCACTGCTACTAAGATGACAAAGGAGACTTCAGAAGTCTAATTTTTTTACCATTCTGTCTCACAGCCAGTTAGCAATATATACCATGCTAAAGATAGTACCTCTAAATAAAGCATGTGGGTGCCTGTGGTCACCTCCAGTTCTGTTGTTCTGTTCATTTTACAAAAAAACTCTCATTGCATTGATTCAAAAACCATCCAACAGTCAATGAACCCTTTCAACTTCTGTGCATCACTGATAGCAAATTGTATGAGGCCATGTCTGACATGTTTGGTAATTTCAAAGTACAAAATACAAAATTTTTGGTTTAGATGTAAAACTGAAAACCATTAAGCCTGAGATTCACAAAAAATAAATCTTTCAAGATTTATGCAAATAGATTTTTTTGAGGTAGTGGCCTACTACCTATAAATCCAAATTTAATCTGTTTATCACCAGCCACTCTGATACTTCTCTGAATGTTTAAAGCCTGAGCAGGATTATGTGCATCCAGCAGTTTAGCCTAACAATAGTAAATTGACATTTGTGAATGTCAATTCACAAAAGTCAAAGAATCAGCAGATTAAAGTGAGAGGTAGTACATCAAGCAACTAGAAAGCTGCTTAATTTGGACTGTCGTTATAATTGACCAGTACGTGCTACTTCCTAGCTGTAGGGTGTGGGGTTTTTTTTTGTTTTTGTTTGGGGTTGGGTGGAGGGCACATTACTGCTGTTCTTAAAAGGATGATCTCACTGTTGACCTTTGTTCAAGGCAGTATTCGTTTGTTCCTAGTGCCTACCATGACGGAGTGGAATGCCATGTTCTTTGAGGCTTTAGTACCATTTTTTCTTTGCCTCTGCATTTATGCAAGGTTTCAGTAACACTTGCTCTCAATGATGGCCTTGTTACATCAGTAATTAGAAGTGGAGAGGCAGTAAGACCCCAGACCATTCCAGACGTGCAGGATACATGATTTATTGCCAAATTATGTAAAGACGAGTAACAGACTGTGGTTGGATGTTTTGTAATGTGTTACACATGAAACAGCTTCTTGATGGCTTTGTTGGCCAGTCACAAAAAAATGGGTTTTCTGTAAGTTGTCTGATAGTTCTTCAGCCTATGTTTCCCACTTTGCTTGTGCTCAGCTCCTCATTTTATTGTTTGCTTTTGCTTCTAAATCTTATTAGCATCCAACTAACTATATTTACATGTCCTTGCAATGGCAGCATCCAAGTGAAAACAAGTTGATGTTAATATTTTAGCTTTTTTCCTAGGAAATTTCTATATCCATCGATATTCTCTCTTCTTCAGCACAACATTCCTTATCTTTTTGTTTTACATTGCTTCATTCAGATTTTCCATCCTCTGTAATTAATTGTGTGACTGAATTTACATGTCTTTTTGTTGCTATGGGATTGACCAAAAAGTCTCTACATACACAAATTGGTGTTAGGTTATACTCAAGGCCCCCCAAATTGCCCTTCTCTTCAGTCTAACATAGTTGTTCCCTAAGATCAGACTCTGTTTTGCCTGTTCAGGAATATCTAAGTTATCACCAGTACAAAGCATTATACCTGATAAGCCATTTTTAGCCATTTTAAATTTAATTATTAGCTTATTTCCTCTTCATTCCTGTACACTTGGCTGTAATCTTGGCTCATCTTAGTACCTCTGAATGGGTCTGAGCTAAAGTCCAAAGTGTATTGTGGGCCCAAATGACTAAAGTGCCACATTTTCACTGGAAAAAGCATTCATGCAGATATTGATGCATCTCTGGCAAGCTGTCCATCTGAATGTATAGGAGCATTGCTGATGAAAATTATTGCATTTGTTGAATGACCATCGTATTTGTATGCCTGACCTTCCATTATGACTTTGTGAGGACATGATGAGGACAGTTCTTCACTCAATAATAGAAGTATTATCTCTGGTGCATCGGGGTGAAGAAGCTGCTCAGTTTCAAGACTGTCTCCCTTCTTGAATGATCAGGCTGTTCAGTTTGGTACCACACACCGCTTACTGTGTAGCAAAAACTGCCTCAAGGGCAGTAGTCCCTCTCCCTTTGGTTTCCTGTGCAAGATTGGATCCAGGGATGTTTGCTCTGCAGGATTTTATTTGCTGGGAGATCAGCTTTTACAGCTGTCTGCAGCAAGGGACAACCTCCCATTCTTTAATATCTGAATAATTAAGACTCACAAAGTCACCAGGACCAACTTTGCTTGCTGCTTACTGATCTCTGCCTTTGAAACACGATTTTTGGGCTGCTTGATAGCTTTTTCCCATTGGATGAAAACTGAGAGGCAGTAGTGGTCAAGTGTACAAGTTAGGTTATCCCTGAACAATATGCCATGTTCCTGTCATGGTAGCTTGATTCTTAGCCCAGTGTATTTCACAAGTTTCAAGTGGTTACAAGTCAGGTGGAAGTTTGCGATTTAACACATTTTGATATCTGTTCTGTAGAGTTAGCTTTCTTCTTCTGCTGAGCTGAGTGAAAAATTTGCCATGTTTTCTATTTTAGAAGCAATTTCTACTAATTCAGCATAGTATATAGCTACTCAGACTCTTACAATTATATTCACTGTTGGCAAATGTCTTTTGATCACAAGGTGAAGGTCCTGTTTTCTTGTCAATATGTAGAAACTGTTCAGAAAGACAGAATATGGATCACAGTAATTGGAATGATTACATACATACTGAACATACAAACTAATTCTCTCTGTCAAAGAGGCTAAAAAAAGTAATGGTATGTTATCTTTTTTATTTTTATTTCATTTAAACAAACATAGTGCCCATGAAAAATTTTACATTGAAATCCAAAGAGAGTTAAATATTTTGATATAATATTAAACTATTCCAAGCTGTTTTAGTAAGTCTTTGGCTAATGCTGTAAGTACAGGAGGGAGCAAGAAGCCAAAGGCAGAGTGCTTTCAAACATTAAAGTGCCTGTTGATGCACACCATGGAGAAATTTGTTGCTATTCGAGTGAGCTTCAGTAATTAAAATTTTACTTAAGGAAAAAGACATTTAAAGGGCTATGTTAGGATTGGTAGATATAGGTTTATGCAATATATTGTTGCACTAGGAAAATATTCATAATAGAATGATAAGAAAAAAAGAACTCATGGAGAACAAATGAGGTGTCTGACTGCTCTTTCTGCCTGTTTTCCTTGCTGGTCTTCCTTTCCTCCTCCTCTGTCATTCCTCTTATAACACAGGTCCACCTGATTCCACCTAAGGCATATTGTGGTATGAAGCCTTGAGAATGGTACCTTTATAGTGAATTTTTGTTGCAGAGGTTATTGATAGGGACCTAGAAGCTGTAATGCATAAAAAAGAAAAATCTGGGGCAAAATACAGCTGGCGGTCACTGATGACAATATCAGGAATTGCCAGTGTACTTGGTAAACTGAAATCTTACAATGGGCAGCGGGGAACACTCCATGCCTATGGAACTAATAATTTATTGGTAGTCCTTCCTAATGTTTTAGCTATCTAATAGTCCAAATTATCAGATTAATAAGGAAAAACATCATTAGTAATACAATTTAACTTGTTTTCTTTTTTAAAAAAAAAAGTCTTAAGTATATACCTCTTTTCTATGTTACCGTATTCACTGTTCCAGTATTCATCTCAGTCCTGAGGATGGCAGCTGAAGTCCTCCTCAAGAGGGAGTGGAGAGGCTGACAGTGAGTCCTCAGCAATCTGAGGTGCTCAG